ATGAGTTTTAAAATATCGCCATATCGGATATCGGCCAAAATCCCGATATCGTGCATCCCTACTTTGCATCGCTCATAAAAGGTTACTTTCTAAAAGAAAAGCACGTAGGACGGCCTTACCTAAACACATCACCAGAATGATTGACAGTTAGGAGGACCACTTATTTTGATGATCCACCCGGAGAAAGAACATCCACCACTAGAAGCTTTAAGGAGATTTCGGAAATTCGGAGATTTCCCAGCATTATCAGTAGACACAGAGCAGCGATTTGCTCGATTAAGTCAAAAGCATTTCTGTGAAATATAGTTTATTAAACCATTTTGCTTTATAAAATGTGTTCTGTGTTCCAGGCTGTTATAGATATGATCCCGGCTGGTTAACAGATTTTATTTTCCCCACAGCAGAAGTTTCGTTTTTGTAACATTCTTGTGAAATTGTTGCGTTGGTCTGACTAACAGACCAGCGGCTCTGCCTTTGCCTTGGTCAGACCTCAGCAGGCGGAGATGCAGAGAAGCTCCAGCATTCTGCCGGACCTCCTTCTCCAGTTGCATCATAAAACCAGATTATCTGTTCACAGGATGCATGAACAGTTTCAGCCTTAATTTGGGCTTAAAACATCCGGGGGAGGGGCGCCATTCACACCTAAGGACGATTTAGAACGTTCAGGAATGAGGGACCTGCACAATATAAAACTCTGCACAGACCTGAGGCTGGGAATCAAACCCCAGACCTTCTGGCTGCAAGGCCCCCTCACCATCACACATCCCCTGAATATTTCTGTACACAATTATTTCTTTATTGATCAGATTTGATTTTGATTCGGAGGAAAACCGAAACTCCTAAATAGTGAGAGATGAAAGTCCTCCTGCTCTGATTTGATGAAGGAAGTTCAGAACTTAGTTTGTTTTTGATCCACATGTGACAGAAATATTTCCTCCGATTGAAGAGAAACAGCAGCAGAGGAAGAAAAGAGGCCCAGCAGCGCTGCAGGTAAGCAGGACTAAAATAAAACACCTGCAGCCTCCTGAGCAAACCTGCTCTGATCAACCTGCAGTACCTACTTTAGCAGCCTGGGGGCGCTTCTAACAGTTAAAGAAATGACAAATAACACAAAGTTGTGCTCATTGAGATAAATTATAAAATATATTAATCAAATTTTATGTCTCCAGCCCTGGATTACCATGGAAACAAGGAGGCCAAGGAGCCGGTAATAGTAAACAGTAATGGTGAAGGGGGGGGTAACACACACAGGGAGTCACTTTGTCCGTCAAATAAAAAAAATCATGTCCAACATTAAATAAGAGCGGAACCTTTCAGAATAAGAGTCCCTTCCTTTTCAGCAGAGACGCTGACGGAGGTTCCGGTCACCGCTGGGAACCCAGAGAAGTTCTGGATGCAGGTCTGGTTCTGGTCTGCTCCCAGCCCAGACCAAAGTCCTCACCAGGCTCTCCACTCGATCGACTTACAAACACAGACGGAGGCTGCGTGGACGCCATTTCAAACCTCAGCTCGGCTGGGTTTTTATTGGCTCGAGAGGAGGAGCTCTTCTTCTTTGCCCTGGGGAGGGGGGATTGCTGCTGAACGCCCCGGATCAGCGTGCGGGATGATCTGGAGGCCTCCCCGGCTGCTGCGGACGAGGAGGAACCCAGCTTGGCCAGGGCCACCGGGATCTCCTCCAGGGACTCTGCGGAGTCTGAGTGGTACTCTGCCGGAGGGGCGGCAGCCTGGACGGAGCCCAGGGGGGGGGCCAGGGGGGGCAGGGAGGCCCTCAGTGGGAATGCTGGGAAAGGAAGCCGCTGACCCAAGGAAAAGGCAGACGTGCTGCTGGGCTCTGCTGCTGGAGAGGAGAGAACAACAGGGACAGGGTTTATACAGGAATTAATAACCACTATTTAATGTTTTTAATGATCTTAGAAATGCTTTTAATGCCATCAACATGTAACCATGACTCTATATAAACACACTACTCAGAAAAAATAAAGCATCACTTTGTAATCAGAATAAAGCATCAATTTATTTAAACTTGGATATTGATTTGGTCAGGTCAGCAGCAGAGGGGGGGTGATAATCAGTTTCAGCTGCTTTGGTGTGAATGACATGAACAACAGGTGAACTAGAGGAACAACAACCAGACGTCCATCAGGAATGGTTTTACAGGTGGAGACATTTCCCCCTGACCAGTTAGCTAACCAGTTAGCAACTTAGTGCTAGCAGGTTCCCAATGGGAAATTCCATTGGGACCAAGTAGCACTAAATTGCTAATCAGTTAGCAACTTAGTGCTAGCAGGTTTCCAATGGGAAATTCCATTGGGACCAAGTAGCACTAAATTGCTAACCAGTTAGCAACTTAGTGCTAGCAGGTTCCCAATGGGAAATTCCATTGGGACCAAGTAGCACTAAATTGCTAACCAGTTAGCATCTTAGTGCTAGCAGGTTCCCAATGGGAAATTCCATTGGGACCAAGTACCACTAAATTGCTAACCAGTTAGCATCTTAGT